TGTGTGTGTAGATGTATGTGTGTGTGTGTGTGTGTGTGTGTGTGTGTGTGTGTGTTTGTGTGATTGTCTTAAAGGCTTCCTGTGGGCATACTGAAAACAAGATCGCAAAGCATCTGATGAAATCACTTACACCAAGATGGGACATAGCAGAAATATTTGTGCAGTCTCATCAAGGTCTGAATAAACTTTCTAAGAGGACAAATGACATAACATTCAAAATGAATTACTAGATTTAGCACATGGCAGAGATTAGTTAATTGACTTTGGAATAAATGGTGGAATGTCTGAGAAAGGAGAGTTGGATGGATAAATATTTCCCATTGTGTATGTTGACTTCATTACATTGTACAGTGGCTCTGGAAAAGTATTTGTACACTGTAATAAAAGATATAGTCACATGTAATAAAATATATGAATTTCATTGCATGGAATAAATATTTTCTATACATCAATGTAATAAATATCTAATAAATATCCTAAAGCAACAAAAAACGTATTGGTAAAATTTATATTTATGAATTAAATTTATGCGTTTATGTGTGGTTTAAAAGAATAGTTCACTCCAAAAAAAAAGAAATTTGCCAGAAAAATTACTCAGGCTGTTGAAGATGTAGATGAGTTTATTTTGCATTGAGAAATTTAGCATTACATTACTTGCTCACCAATGGATCCTCTGCAGTGAATGGGTGCTGTCAGAATGAGAGCTCAACACCTGATAAAAACATCACAACAATCCAAAAGTAATCCACATGACTCTAGTGCATGAATTAATGTCTTGTGAAGTGAAATACCTTTAAACCAGGGGTGCCCAAACTCGGTCCTGGAGGGCCGGTGTCCTGCAGAGTTTAGCTCCAACCCCAATTAGACACACCTGAACAAGCTAATCAAGCTCTTACTATGCATGCTAGAAACTTCCCGGCAGGTGTGTTGAGGCAAGTTGGAGCTAAACTCTGTAGGACACCGGCCCTCCAGGACCGAGTTTGGGCACCCCTGCTTTAAACCATCACTTCTGGCCAAATATGTATCCACAATCCATAATAATGCTTCCTCCAGCGAAAAATCCATCCCCTGCTGTCCCCTCAAATTAAAATCCACCGACATATCGGTTACCTTGGACCACAAAACCAGTCACAAGGGTCAATTTTTCGAAATCGAGATGAATAAATAAGCTTTCCATTGGTGTATGGTTTGTTAGGATAGGACAATATTTGGCCAAGATACAACTATTTGAAAATCTGGAATCTGAGAGTGCAAAAAAATCTAAATATTAAGAAAATTGCCTTTAAAGCTATACAAATGAAGTTCTCAGCAATGCATATTACTAATCAAAAATTAAAAATACATTGTATGGGTCAAAATTATCTATTTTTCTTTTATGCCCAAAAATCCTAATGATTTTTGGGCATAAAAGAAAAATAGATAATTTTGACCCATACAATGTATTTTTGGCTATTACTACAAATATACCCGTGCGACTTAAGACTGGTTTTGTGGTCCAGGGTCACATATTTGTTTTGAACTGTTTTTACTTGTAAACAGTTCTTGATCTGTGCGTGTTTCTCTTCTGATTCAGATATGACTTTTTTTTTTTTACTTGAGAAAGCAGTATTATGTATAGAGGACTTGTGTTTTAGCTGAAAACAATGGTTTGAAGTTAAACATAGCTTAATGATGGATTTGTTTATTATAAACATGCAGCTGGAGTGGTGTGGATTACTTGTGGATTATTGTGATGTTTTTATCAGCTGTTTGAACTCATTCTGACAGCACCCACTGTAGAGGATCCATTGGTGAGCAAATGATTTAATACTAAATTTTTTCAAATCTGGTTAGATGAAGAAACAAACTTATCTACATCTCGAATGGCATGAGGATGAGTACATTTTCGTTTTTGGGTGAATTATTCCTTACATACTTTTTGCAGCCACTGTATGTTGATTAGTGGGGCATTGACTGGAGACAGACGCATTAGGACACCAAAAACAAATAAAGGGAGGTGCATAGAAGAAAAGTGTGAAGGAGAGAGGAAATGAAAGGTCACTGCTTACAAAGTAAGGAGTGTGGTGTCCTTGCTGGGCCTGGGAGTGAAGGAAGCATCTATGCTGAGGAGTGAAGGTCAGGGATGAACCTTGAGGAAAATCTGCATTATTGTAGGTTTGAAGTGGGAGTGTTCATCTCTAAAACACAGCTGAACTGTATTATTCTGTATGTTAATTTCACTGTTAAGTAGTTTGACAGTTTGAAGAAAAATTTGAGCTCTTCATCAGAGTTGATGGGCATTTGACGACTGATTGCTCTTCTACACTAAATGACTGGCAATATGTGCCATTTCTAAAGGTCACTGGCACACCATTGTCCTTTGTGACCGTGAGAAGAGATTTTACTTAATTTATAATTACATATAGTTATATCGCAAATATTTTCATTTACAATATTCAAAGAATAACGCAACTCTAGTGATAATAAAAATACAATAATACATCCCAGAAAGTCTATGATTTCAAGGAAATGTAGATTGATAGGATATTTGAGAGAAAAAAAGTTTCCTATATTTTGTTTATTACATATTGTCAACAAATGATTTATAATAAAAAACAAAAAAAAGTACATATCTGTTTTGCCTATGAACTTCTTATGGTGAAAGCAGCCACGGTGGATTTTAGGAACATCTGCATTCTCCAACCTTTACAGCCATTAAGAGATCATCTTCCACAGCCTCCTATTAATAACCACTTGTCAGCCTTGACTGTCTGCGAGAGGACACTTTTTCATCTGAGAGCTGGAACATTGTTAATCTCCTGACTGTCCTTTCAGAGACTCATATGTGCAAGGATAGAAGATGATAAATTAACTTTCAAAAAATCCTGAATTCTATGATACTTAATATTATAGCTTGTCCCAGAGATTCATTTTTTTCTAATATAGAGATCCTTCAGTTTTCACCTTAATGGTACAGAGACGCTCTTTAGATAATCACACTGATTAGGTTCAAAATGCTTGTGTAACAGGACTAATTCCCCACATGGCTCAGCCTGAAAACATCTGGCTTCTGGAAATGAAGGATTCAAGTCTATTCTGCCATTGATGTAGGCTGTATATGATTCAGAATGGAATTTAGAATGCCTTTTGAATACTACATATTTTTGATGAATTCAAAATGAGGTAGCAAACACAGAATTGTACTTTGAATTTTAACTTAAATTACAGCTTTTTATTTTATCTTAAAAGAACATTTAATTTCCTAGAATTTGTGATGTTTAGATCACATGATTGGTTGTGATATCAATATGTAAAACTGCTCTATCAGCAATTATAATTAAGTACTTTAAGCACTCTCTGCTTTTCATTTTTTCATTAATACAGTGAAAAACAACAGACAGGTCATGTGGATTCCCTTGGTGCATTGGTGTGAAAAAGGCAATCAGCCTGAGATCATGACATCAAAACCCTATTGTGCCACTAAATTGATGTAATAAACATCCATCCCACTAGCTAAGTGGATTTCAGCAGCAGGAATTCGGAGCGCTAAATTGCGCAAAATTGCATCCAAACTGCTCAGTTGTTACGTGGCACATGCAGACATCATCTTAGTCCTCTGTCCTCATTGCATAAACAAATCATTTACATAAACAACTGGAATGAATCAAATAAATATTAATTTTGACTTCTATTGAGCATTTAAACACGTAGCCTACCCAGTCATGCTGAGATAATAAGGAGAGTTTGGTTATTACTAAATACCAAGACGGCTAACAACAAAAGTTAAATCAGCTCAAACTTCCGCTCTTCATGGTTTGGTGTAGCACCTGTACATTCAGATCCCATTTTTAAAAACAAGCAATTGACGTTTATTTAAAAAAATTTCCCTGAGGTTTATATACAGTAATAGTCTAATTATACTTATATAGTATACAATATTTATAATAGAACAAAACGTATTGTCACTTTGATGTTTTATGTAATCGAAATAATAATGATAATAACAACAACAACATAATAATCCTTCGAATCCAAAAAGAAACACTATTGCTAATTTATGCTACGTTAATGTAGAAATTTTAATGGCATAAAATAGTACATTTAATTTTAAATGTCAGAAAGAGGGTGGAATGGTTATGGAGTATTTTTTATTTTATTTTTATTTTTTTTGGCAAAAAACTTTACTAACAATATAAGTGGGAAAGAGGGGGGAAATAAGTAACATTTTTGGTGTGATTCAGATTAGTTTTATTAAAGCATTTGTCCATTTGTAATCCACACAATGTTTACAGCAACTTGATCGCTTTATTATTGTGTCCATTGTGGAGGGGATGGAGTTTGGTGCTGATCATCTGACCATGATTCCCCCCTCTTTAATCATTTTCCTTTAATCTTCACCTCAACATGTCTACATCCTTTCAGGTTCTATTTTTGCCTGGCCTTGTTTTGATCATGACAGGGACACTCAAGTTTATGAATCCCTAATCAAGCCCCACATGTACCTACCTCTCACTCTCTCACTCTCACTCTCTCTCTGCCCCTCCCCCTCAGTTTCTGACTCTCTATCTCTCCTCATGCATGGCTCGTGGTTTCATTGTTTGATGTGACAGATCAGGTCACTCTCTATTGAATCACTGATGAGAAAGACCTGTTTTGAACCATAATCCGTAGCAAGAATATGGCTTCATTCAGTCTTT